TCTCTCTTGTTAAATCACCCGCAAACCATGGTTCAGCCCCTCGCGCAAAATTCCAGTTTGCGAGCGCAAATTACTGCACGCAAAATTGGATCTTGATAAATCCGGCCCTAAGTGTGTTAGAAAATGGATGGATGGATGGATGGATGGATGGATGGATGGATGGATGGATGGATGGATGGATGGATGGATGGATGGATGGAAATTAACAGAAAAAAATTCTCTGTAAATCCCAATGAATTGAAGCAAGATTGAAAAGAATAACTGTTTTCACATCGATCTAAAAGACTGAAGAGAAACAGCTTCTGGGTGGAACGGATGCTGATGCTGGTTCTACGAACCCTTTCCCTTTTCTTCAGACTGAAAATCTGTGAATATTTGGATTTACCAGCAAATATAAGAAATGCATGTTTTTCCTACTCATAAATCTATGGAACATTCATCAGAGACGCTAAAGAGCAAATATCATGTGTGAGGAAAACAACTACTGTATCTCTTAGCTGCTGGCAAGCTCAAGTGGTCAGTCACCCGTCCTGCAAACAGGAAGCCTGGGTAGCTGCCAGTGTGGGTCTTTTAGGCAAGACCCTTCATGCTAATGCTGCTTTGGGTAGTGGCGGCCTGGTGGTTAGGGCATTGCGCTTGGAATCCTGAGGTTCTGACTTCGAGCCCCACTCCCACAGACTGCTGCTCCGGGTTGGTGAGCAAGACCGCCTTAACCAAGACAGTGGCAGCGCACTGCTCCCCAAGGGGATGGGCTAAATGCAGAGAGTTCATTTCTTTGCTCTATACTTGTGACAGCTTAATGACGATATCACTGTTTTTCCAAATCTGCTGGAAAAACAAACAAACAACAAAAAAACTCACCACTGTCTTCATATGCTTCTTCTTCTTCCTCCTCCTGCTCCATCTTAGGGCTGACCTGTGCTGTTGATCCAAAACTACCTAAACCTACAGATATTAAAAATAAAATCTCAGGCCCACTTTCTCAGAGTTGTTTTTATATTTATAGGCAGCATTTTAGTGTTGAATTAATATTTTCTTTTGGAAATAAATGTGTTCCTTCATGACCCATTAAATTAGAGGCAGCACAAATGTGGCTGGAAATGTAATAAATGTGTTTCTGCATTTCATTTGCATGTTAAAATGTTTAAACAATAAATCATACAGTAATGCCGTTGGAATATTACTCAATGACCTCAGCTGGCCATTTGGTGTTGCATATGATTACAAACCAGAACCAGTGCTCATTATCTCCTGTGGATTAGCATCGCATTAGCATTGAATTAAATGTCTGTCTGAGACTGTGGAATTTTAAGGTGATCTGATTAGAGGGAACCAAAAATATTCAACTTTCACTCCAACAAACCCAACATCAAAAGCTTTGTTTATGAAAAAAAGAAAGACATCATAGATCATGTTAAACAAGAGTGTTTGAAATTTTCTTTTCTTAGAATAATTGTCACCTTTATCCAGTGGTGAAGTCCTCTGGGCTGTTGTAGTTAGAACAGACGATGCACTGTCAGCAGGAGGTTTCTTTGTCCCATAATATAAACCTGCTAAGCTGGGTGGGGCGGACGCCTCGTTACGGGTCTGCTCTTTGTGGAGAAGCTGAACTGGATCTGCAGCAGAAAGATGGGATGTTTTAATCAAAGTCGTGGGTTTTTGTGTGATATCCTTGTTTCAGAATTTTTGTTTTAAAACTCCATGAACTATTTTATTAGGAAATCCACCATCATCCATCTATATCCTGAACTTTGGAACACCTCAGGGATGTATTCTTAGCCTTCTCACACTTCAGACTTCAGCTCTCCCTCTAACGTCTGGGTGAGGATAGCTGACACATTGCTAAAGCAGGGCTGATAATGGGCAATGATGCAAGCCATGAGAGGTTCTGGCTTGGTGGTGCTCAGAAAGTGATCTGGTACTAAAAACCTACAGGGAATTGAGGCAGAAACTGGACCATCTCGCTCCATATGAATGGTGGAGAGTGTTGATGACATGAAAGTTTCTCAACATCCAAGAAACACAGAACTTGAGATCAATCAATGAAATCTACCATCTGGTGAGGAAACTACAACAGAGACTTCATCAACCTACTTAGGAAAAATCCAAACTTCTGCCCCTGCTCTTCATAAATAAAGAAATCCTCCTGAGCTGCTGTATTTCAGCTTTGTGTTAAAACAAAGCAGATCACATTCAGAAAATGTCTCTCTTGGCATAATTT